CACATAGGGTTTAGCTTTAAAAAATAATCAGGGACATACCAGTTAAGAAGAGAAAACACAGAATGCGAAGCAAATGTTGAGCAATATCTAGCTTTGCTTGCAGCCATCTAGACTAGTGAATACCACAAGTAGTAGAGAAGAACAGATAGCTTTTAGAGTGTAAGAGAGTTTTTGAACTAGTGTTCGTGTCCTAGAAGTGAGAATAGAGGAGAGTATATATAGTGGTTAGGAGCAAAGCAGAATAAGGTAAAGAAGATCAATCATTCAGCAATTAAGGAAGCCACACAATTAATTACACACAAATTAGTGTTGTTTTCCCTTAATTAAGGGTAATTACCTAACGGTAAAGGGCAGGATACATTTAAGGAAAGAAAATCAAGTGAGCAAGTAAGGGTAAATAGACGGGAATTCAATTAAGGAAGCAATCTTGAAGAATCAGTAGGTATCACAGCTAATCAAATAAGGTAAGAAAACTAATTAAGGTCGTAAATAAGGGGAATAATCAAGAATCAGCACATAAGTTTGACAGAGCAAATCAGTAAATCAGAAATTCGAAATAGTATTGATTTTAAGGGAGAAAAATATAGGTTTCCACAAATATACAAATAGGTTAAATAAATTCCATAAACACAGAAATTAGCCGAAAAATCGACTCGGAAACCCTAATAAAGATGAACTAGGGTAAAAGTCAAAAACAATGAATCTAACTAAGAGAAGCATGTGAATCAAACACAGAATGAAACATTGCACAAGTAACACGAAGAACTCAGAATTGAATCGCAATATGAGAAAATTAGGGCCTTAGCATAAATCGACTAGGTTAAAGCAAACTCAACATAAATCGGTCAGAAGCACGTAAGAACAGAAGATTAAACATTCAAAATCGGAAAGCTTTTAAAGAAGATGATTTTCAGTAAACCCTAGTTTTTAGGAAAAATGGAGAATCAATTGAAAAACCATAAAACTTCCGCAAAAACATGTGAGATAGGTTCGATTGGTCTCAGATCTGTACAGATCTGAAAAGATCGGGGACCCAAAATTAGGGTTTTCAAAAGTAAAACAGAGACGGGATCATAGGCTTAGGAATCCATGGATTTAAAACGAGAATAAGAAGGATCTTACTCAAAGTTGAACCAAATGGCCTGAAACAGGCGAGAAAAACCCAAAAGTGTACACAGACCTGCCTAGGTCCCTTGAGAATCTCCTCAAGGATCTTGGAGATGGAGGTACCATATCATAGAAGAGGCCATTCGAGGCCTGAGTTGGTGAAGAACCACCATAGGAAGGCAGTAGGTGAGTGAAGGCAGGGGGAATTAGGGTTAGAGTTAGAGAGCTTTGTGAGACGAGGAGAAGGGTGACAGCGGGGGGAAAGGTGAAAATGATTAGGGTTAGAGGGGGGTATATGGGTTAAATTAAGGTAGGGGGGTCCTGGACCGTTGATCAAGAATGATCAACGGCCAGGATTGGCCAAAGGGTTTTCGGTCGGGCGGATAGGGTATTGGGCCTAAGGTTTTGGGATTAATTTTATAAGGGGGTAACTGGTTAGTTTTAGGGTAGAATTGAAATAAAAGAGGCTGTTTATTAAATATCCAAAGTAATTGAATAAAATTAATTTGTAAAATAATTAACTAATTACCAAAATAATTTTATGCATGGAAATGTTTTATAAATAATTATTTAGTATTTTAAAATACAATGAATTAATTTCTGGTAAAAAATGATGAAAAAAATGTATGCATGGGCTAAAATTGCAAAGTTATTGCAATTATAGCCAAAAGATGCCAATTTGACTATTCATGAAATAATTGGAACTTAATAAGACCATAAATGATAATATTAAATCAAGAGATGTTTTAAAATCATATGTAATGCAATTTTGTAATTTTATATGAAGAACATATTGAGATAAATTAGTTTAAAAATGTAAGAATTATGGAAAAATATCCATTGATGCTAATGCATAGTTTTAAAGGCGTATATGCACTACAAAAGTATTATAGGGAAAAATTGAGTATCAACAATTCTCATAACCATTATAATCATAATATAACCTTTCTCCCTTTCTAATGTCTCTGCTTGCAATCAACAAAACTTGGCATTCACCATTAACATCAAATCTCACACATCTTACATTCTGCTTCAATTTGACAGTACAACTTTTTTGATTGGGACAGCTCTCCAACCTTTTTTTTCCTTTTGACAAACATGATAGTAATAGACATTAGAGTTCTCTCATTTAGGAAATATCTTGAAGTGTTGCTTTGGGTTCAATGTGTTAAGTTAAGAGGAGAAGAATATCTGCTTTATATTCTCACATTCGGTGATCACATGAAGAAAAGAAACAACACAATTAATTATCATTTGACAAAACCTTAACTAAGGAAGCAGTCCTTCCATTTTCAAAAAAAAATCGAATCTTTTTCACTCCCCTTTCTCTCCATTTCAATCAAGTAATCTCTCAATACCTTTCCCTTAATCACAAGGTAATCTCTCAAAAACGCATCGAGTTCTACTAGCTCCGGTTTTCAAAAAATTCAGATACTTCAAGCATAAGAAGGCAAAGATAAAGCTATACCCCTATGATAACCAGCATAGATTTTAGCACAAGAAAAAAGTAGCTGAAAATTCATACAAAACTCCTAATTCAACTGAAAAAAACCATAAGAAAACCCAAAAAAATAACAAAATTGTTCTGTGTTACCTTCGAAATACCATTTTTAAATAAGGCCAGATTTCTCGATTAAGAGCCAGAAAGTGCAAAGAGAGCAAAAAATCTTAATACCTTCGTATTTGGGTCTCCAAATTGTTTCTCCGATCCTTAGTTTGTAACCTTTACATAACCAGTTGACCTAAGCCCTTCAAACGATGCAAAACCCTTTGCACAAATTGATGATGCTGTTAGTTGAGTAGTCGCCATTTCTTTCTACACTTAATCAAATTAAACCCCACAAAATTAAAATGGTTATTATCCTCAAAACTCTAAATTAAAAGAGGATTGAGGGGTTTTCAGGGCATCGAAGAGAGAGATAGGGGTATTGGAGTTTTTAGAGAGAGAGAGAGAGATGAGTGTATCGGCGTTTTTTAAGAAGAAAAAGATTTTTCGAAACGGTGAGATGGGGGCGGGTCAGTGAAGAAGAAGGGTTTAATTGCATTGGGGGTATCGGCGATATTGGGGGTATCGGCGATATTGGGGGTATCCCATATGGAAAGGGCAAAAAAATTTTTTTTATTAAATATTTAGATTATTAAAATTATTAAAAACTAAAATAAATAGGGGTTGTTTTGGCGGGTTTAACAAAATTCAGGGGAAAAAATAAGGAGGGAAAAAATAACCGTTCCAATAGAAATTTTTACAATAAAAGCGTTCCAGTAGATTTTTTACTGGGACGGTTTATATAACCATTGCGCCAGATACATCTATGGCAACAGTTGTTTTACAATTGCAATGGTTGTATAGTTAAAGTGTGCTGATATCACCTAAATGCTATTGTAACGGTTGTAACCGTTACCATATAGGTTCTATGGCAACGGTTGTTGAACCGTTGCTAAAATAACTGTTACCATAGGCCCATTTTCTGGTAGTGCAAGATAGAACGATACTTACCGCTACCTCCTAGACTACTAAGTATATTAGCAATTGTTCGCCTTCCTCGAGTTTTGATAGTAACGGAGGGATCGATAGATACCGTTTCAGGTCTTTTAGGGCATGTTGGCATTCTGGAGTCCATTCGAAGTTCTTCTTCTTCTTCTTTTTCAGAAGTGAGAAGAAATGATGACATTTTTTTGACGACCGAGAAATGAACCTGCTTAGAGCGGCCAGTTTTCCGGTTATCCTTTGGACTTCTTTCACCCTTGTCAGCTGGTCTGGAATGTCCTCGATGGCTTTGATATTATCGGGACTGACTTCGATCCCCTTTTGTGACACCAGGAAACCCAAAAATTTACCGAAGCTAACTCCGAATGCACACTTTTCAGGGTTGAGCTTCATGTTGTGCTTAGGATGTCGAATGTTTCCTGAAGGTGTTTTAGATGGTCACCTACATTCAAAGACTTGACCAGCATATCATATATGTATACTTCCATTGTTTTACCTACCTGCTTTTCGAACATCTTGTTCACGAGCCTCTAAGAAGTGGCTCTAGCGTTTTTGAGCCCGAAGAGCATCACATTATAATAATATGTGCTGAAGTTCGTTATGAACAAAGTTTTGCTAATCCTCCGGGATCATCTTAATTTGATTGTACCCGGAATAGGCATCAAGGAAACTCATTAACTTGTGCCCGGCCGTGGCGTCGATCATTTGATCGACGTTTGGCAGTGGGAATGAGTCTTTCGGGCACACCTTATTCAAGTGCTTATAATCTAAGCACATTCGAAATTTATTATTCTTTTTCGAAACTACAACTACATTAGCTAGCTAGTCGGGATACTTTACCTCCCAGATTGAATCAATATCAAGTAATCGAGTTACCTCTTCTTTGACAAACCTGTTTCTGACCTCGGCTATCGGGCGTTTTTTTGCCTTACTAGTTTGACGCTTGGGTCCAAGATTCACTTATGCACGAACACCTCTAGTGGGATATCCGCGGGCGACCATGAGAAACAATCAACGTTAATTTTAAGAAAATCATTAAATCCTGATCTGAGCTCGGGGTTGAGTCCTGTCCCCAAGTAAAATTTTCTCTCTAGGAACTTTTAGAACAAAGCCACTTGTTCGAGTTCTTCCGCCGTGGACTTGGTCGCGTCTATTTTTTTCGGTACCTGAAAATATCTTGGTACCAAGTAGGTTTCCGACGACTCCTCCCCTTTGTCATCTTTGCTAGGTTCGAGAGCAGGCGTTGGTTCATGTAATTCCTATACATTGAGTTCCTTCGTTTACTGCTAGAAATCGATACCGTGTTCATTTTCCTTGCTGACGGTTGATCTCCTCTTATTTATTTGATTCCTTAAGGTGTCGGGAATTTCAAAAGTTGGTGATAAGTTGATGGTATGACCTTCATCTAATATAACCATGGTCTACCGAGAATTATTTTGTAGCCCATGTCGCCGTCCACCACTTCAAATAAGATGGTCTTCGAGACCCCCTTGGCATTCGTAGGCAGCAAGATCTCCCTCCGAGTCGTCACACTTGCTAAGTTGAATCCGGCAAGGAGTTTTATTGTCAGAGTGATGCTTCCGATTAGCTTGGCTTGTTCCAACACTCTCCACTGGATCATGTTGGCTAAACTTCCTGGGTCAACCAAGACACGTTTAATTTTGAAATCTAGAACATTAAGAGAAATTATCAGGGTATCGTTGTGTGGCAGGAGAAGTCCATCCGCGTCTTCTTCCATGAAGGTGATGTCATCTTCGACGACTTCCCAGAGTCTCTTGCTATGAGTCACTAATACCTTTGTCTTTTTGGCTGTCGAGAAAGTTACACCATTGATCTCGTTCCCCCCAAAAATCATGTTAATAGTTAGTCAATGAGGGTATTCCCCTATCATCGAGGGTTCTGCATTGTCTTGGCTGCGACCGTAATTGTTCTTTGCTAGGTCGCTTAAGAATTCCCTGAGATGGCCGTTCTTCAACAGCGTTGCCACCTCCTCGCGCAAATGTCGGTAGTTTCCAGTTCGGTGGCCATTAGTCCTATGATATTCGCACCATAAATTAGGATCCCTCTGGTTGGGATCGGATCTCATTAGCCTCGGGAATCGTGCTTCCTTGATGTTTCTTATTGTCGATACCAGCTCCATTACGCTAACATTGAAATTATACTTTGACAGCTTGGGATAAGTGGAATCCCGGAAACCCGATGCTTCTTTGTCATGCAATGACCTATTATTATGACCGTAGTTTGCTCTTCTATTGGAGGCAAACCTATCCACTAACCGGAACCCTTTGTTGCTGCGTCCTTTGGCCCTCTCGTAGGACAAAATTCGTCCATTAGAAGATCGCCAATCTACATCAAAGTCATCTTTTAATTTATCCCTGTTCTTTTCTCGATCTCGACCCTTGGTTGATGCCGGGAACCCGAGGTGATCATCTTCTATCCTTATCTTTGATTCATAACGGTTATGGACATCTCCCCATGTGGTTGCTTGGAACTCGAGGAAGCTTTCTTTCAGCTTCCGAGAGGCGTTGGAGCTCCTCAGGTTCAACGCCTTAGTAAATACCTCATCCGTCCATTCATCTGGAACGACCGACAACAACATCCTTTCTCTCTAGATCCTGATCACGAACTCACACAGCAATTTGAACTCTCCTTGCAAAATTTTGAATATGTCCGCCTTCCGGGCCTGGACCTTCCTGGCACCCGGCATGGGCCTTGATGAAAGTATCTGCGAGCATCTCAAAGGAATCTATTAAGTGTTCGGGTAAGAGTGAATACCATGTTAAGTCTCCCTTCGTGAGGGTTTCTCCGAAGTTCTTCAGTAGGACCGGCTCAATCTTATGTTGGACCAAGTCGTTTCCTTTCACTGTCATTGTATAAGTCGTGATGTGCTCCTAAGGGTCTGAAGTCCCATCATACTTTGGTATATCTGGCATTTTGAACCGTTTCGGAATCAATTCTGGTGTTGCACTCAGTTTGAATGGCAATTGGGTGTACTTCTTCAAGTTTGGGTCCTTCATGATAGAATATAAGGGTCCACTAAACTCTATAGAGACCAGGTTCTCTATCAGTTCCACTAGAACACACGCACACAGCAGTAAGTAAATGACAGGAGGAATTTTACGTGGAAAATTCCCAGCTCAACGGGATTAAAAACCACGACCTACCCTTGTAGGATTTCAACTTCACTACTGAGCAACTTTTAGATTACAACCTATGCAACCTAGGAATTAACCTCTTCATCCCTTACTAACTTATAATCCTCTATTACAAGCCACTTTGTAATAACTCTATTACAAAGACTTTACAACTCTACTAACTCTAGTCAAGACTCAGACACATACAGGTTTAAGATTCACAAAAGGGGTTCCTACAGAATGCTTCTAAACAAGCTAAGTAGGAAATACAAGTGAAGAACTATTATAAAGTTACAACTCAACTAAGGACATACTATGACTCGATGTAGGAACTGGTCCGTAGTTGTTTTGTTCTTTGTTCTTGAAGCACTCGAAACCTTGCTGGATGATCACATGAGTAAGCTTGTGTAAAATCTCTAAGTGTTCAAGTGAATGTGTTTTACCTCCCTTGATTGTATATATACATGTGTGACATCACTTACAATGATGCAAGCAAGGTAGGTAAAAAGTCTTCCACAGAAAGTTGACTGCTGCACTGTTCCTGTACAGTAGCGTGTGCAGGCAGCAACTTTCCAGCTGGAGAGTTGACTTCGTACGGTCACCTTGGGAACTGGTAGGAACCTGTTCCCTCAGCTGTTCCTTCTACTCTGAAGAGTTGAGCCATATCCCAAGCTGGAACCTTGTGATCTTAAGTTCTTGTAAATGTGTAACAGGTTCCTTATCTGGTTCTGGATAGTAAGTTTGTTAGATCATCAAAACATAAAACAAAGTACTTATGACCAAGGTACTTGTAAAGTATCACTTCAACACTGGCGGTGCGCCGGAATTTGGTCCATTCGGGCATGGAACTCTTTTGCGTTCTAATTCATCCACTTGTTCATCTCCCTCGTGAACCACATGAGTTCAATTTTGAAGGGATCACTACTGTTGTCGTTACCAGCTCCGCTATCGATACCCCCGGTTCTATTGAAGCCGATCTTACCCCATGGGGTGTTGTTATCAACTCTTTGAGCTGTTTGATTTACAGGAACACCTGGAGGAACATAGCCTCTTCAATTCGCGTTGTTGGAAGCACCTAACAATGCCTGCTTCAGTTCTGTCATGGCTTGGTCTTTCCTTGAGAGATGACCCATGATGGCCTTTTATTGCTCCCTCAAGATCCCTACTATTTTCGTAACGTGCTCGTCCTCAACGTCATCGGGAGTTTTCTCCAGCACATGTCGGGGATAACGCCTGCCATGGACCGGAGTTGCTACATCCTCCTCGTTGCGGGTGTCGCTGGTCGAGTCCTCATGTTGAGGTAGATTTTCTTGCGCCTCAATGTTGTATGTGATGTTGACATCATTAGCTGTCATTTTTCTTTGATTTTTTCTATGAAACAAAGAATCAAACAGTTAGTAATCGACGTAAGGATAAACTCAATTATGTAGGTGTCTAAGCCCCATGGTGCGCGCTAAACTATTTGTCTGTAAAAATACAGTTTCATTTGTTGCGTAGTTTATAGAGTTTATAGAAAAACGCACTGTATTTGATCCCAAGATGATAAATAAATTAAATAAAAATATAAGACTTAGCATTGAAATCGATATAAATAGCGAATAGCCTGGTTCCGGGAGCAAGGCTTCCGAAGGCAGCAATAAGAACAATGTTAGATAGAAAATAAAGTATTATTTAGCTTGAGAATAATATGTAGCATACGTTTTTCAAAGATTTCGTGTCCTACAATGGCAGTTGAAGTCACTATTTATAGCTATACCTAGGGAACAAGATCCTAGGATCAAGCCCCTCTTAAATGACAATAAAGGGAGCAATTGATGAATATGTAACGGCAGGCCATGAATGCCAAAATTCTCTGTAACGGCTGCATATTTAATACTGAGTAATATTCTTCATTAAATGCCATCCAATTACAAACATTCATTTGCCTCCGTTGACTGCGTTCCCTTCGGAATTTGCCCGATAACAACCGAAGCTCTTGTCCTCGGTCTTGGTTCCCACTCGCTTCATCTTCCGTCTGCGCCCTCCGGTTCCACGTGTCATGTAATCATTCAAGCATTTAATATAAACCAATTTTACCCTATACACATTCCGTCTGCGACCTTCGATTCCACGTGTCATGTAATCATTCGAGCATTTAATATAAATCAATTTTACCCTATACACATTTATAAGTTCAAACTCTAAGAATTATTTCTCAAATTTGAAATTTTTCTATATGTGAAAACCTAGCACCGTTTGTTGGAGTTCGAACTTTTTGGAGTGAAACTCTAAAAGCGACTACTAAAATTTGAACATTTATTAGTTCAAAATCCATGATTTGTTCATGAACTTTACAAATTCCCTGCAGATGAAACTCTAGCATTCTACGCAGAAGTTCAAATTGTTGTCACTTTTCCGTTTTATTCACTATGCACAAATTCCCTTTTATTCACTTGCGGATTATTTAATTTCGCTATATTTCTGCACATTGATTCTAATGAACTAATAATTCATTAAAGTAGTTAATATACTTTTAAGTACTCATAACTAGGGGCAGATCGATCGGATATGAACGGGTCGAAAATAGATAATGCAAAAACGTTTAAATTATCCAATCTGCCTATACATTAAAATATCACCATCTTAAATCCATTAGCACGCACAATTTTGAAACAGATAATCAGCATTATCACGTTATAGTAGCTCTCATCAAATAATCAATGCCGACCATCTTTCTATTAAATGAAAAATTAAATACCAATCACCCCATTGAATGTAACAATTTGTAAGCAACTATTGATTTCGAATAACATTATTAAAATCTCAAATATATGTTTGGGTTGAATCGGTATTGAATTTTTTGGGGTTTTAAGGTAAAAATTAGTGGGCGTAGCCACTTTTAGGTCGGCTATTAGAGTTTAGCTAGTCTTTTAAATATTAAAAAAAATAACAAATTATTAATACAAAAATAAAATTTAGACAAAAATACTCATACTTAAAACACGGAAGAACTCCAGAAATAGTACAATGAGAATAATGATTCTCTTGTAATGTCACAAGCCTATCGGCTCGTTGTAACACCGTAAAGGTGGAGGAAGAAAGGAACAATGGTGATTAATAGTGGATTTTGGTGGCGTCAATATAATATTTTTGCAAAAGGAGATAGGGAGTTGGTGGTGCCAAAATTTTAGCATAATGTTAATTTAAAGTTCAGTGTAACACTAATGTTTGCATTAGGTTAGACTGTCTACATCATGCCCTTTACGGTGTCGTCTTTCCCCGAACCCTACGTGAATACGAGATGCTTTATACACTGAACTGCCTTTTTTTATATTTTAAGTCCAAGAATCTTTCACGGAGTTCGAACTAAAAGAGCTTTAGTTCATGATTTTTTTCGTAGACCTTAAACTTCATATTTCAAACCCCGAAAATAAATCATGGTATCTGTTTGATCAAAAAGTGTTAAGCTTTTTGTTAAACTAATTAATAAGAAAATAGAGGATAAATCCTAGCCAAGAATAATTAAATCTAGATCAAAACACATTGAATAAGAGAATAAGATATAGTCAAGCTCATGAACTTTTAAAATTTAAAAGAGATATGGAACATAAATGACATGCTTACATTCTCGATGTATTGTTCCGTAATGTAAGAATAAAGAAGGGAAAGAAGGAACTCCATTAACAGCTGCGGAATCTATCTTTATTGATTTGAGATAGATGATTACAAAGATTTGCATCCA